GGAGAAGTTGGACAACCGCACTGCTGACAAAGCCCCGGCATCCGACCTCCACAGGATAGAACCTAGCCTTCCAGCCTGCCTCGCGGCACTCCGCTGCCAGCTAGGAGTACTTCAGATGTTTCCTTTCATGGGCTGCTGTCATGCCTTCCTCCCAGGGGATGGTATGCTCAATGATGATAACTCTTTTCTCCTCAGTGGACCACACTACGATGTCGGGCTGGAGAGTAGTTATTGTGATCTCTCTTGGGAAGACAAGCTGCTTTCTGAGGTCTACCATCTTCTGCCATTCTTTGCCAGGTCTAAGTATGGTGTTCCTGATGTTCCGAGGTGCTTACTTTGTTTTTTGTTGGCCTTGGACCAGAACTGCAGCGGAGCTCCCCAGCCTAGCCCAGTGCGACCAGTCTGGACTGCCCTCATCACTTCCCTGTGTTGAAGGCTGGAGATTGCGTGGTCTACCTGAGCCTGTGTCTGCCACTTCCTGCCTGTGCGTATGGGTACTCTTGCACTTCTTACAAGGTGGTCAGTGAATACCTTCAGCAACAGTACAAGGCGTGCCTTCTCTTCCTTGTACCCAAGACTGACAGACTTCATTGGTAGCTCCAGCATGTTTCAGCCAAAGAAGCCAGCATCTTAGAAACAGCGGGGCAAGCCCAACCACTTTTGGATGTAGTTGTTAGCTAGGCTGTCCATCCTGCTAACCTCTGATGATGGAATCTCGCTGACCTTTAGTAGCCACAACACTTGATGGTACAGTGTGTGTTGGTAGCACCACACTTTGTATTTCCCTGGCAGATGGTATTGATCGATCTTTGCCAGGCCCTCCGCAAGTTGTTGCTTGGCTAGCTTCCCCATATGTCTGTCGGACAAGTCCGCAGTATATAGCCTCCCCAGGCTCTTGAGTGGTTTTTCTGCCAGCTGTGGAATGGACTATCCACCAGCAACAAAGATGGTCTGGTTCTGTAGTACCCCTTTCCTCATCGAGAGACTTCTTGATTTTTGATGTGATTAGCTCATCAATGCGATTGAGGAGCCTCGCCGTGCATGGAGCCATCTGAAGGATGCTTGTGACATCGTCCATATAACTCCTAAGCGGGGGAAGCCTTTTGCCTGATGGTAAATTGATACCTCCCACCACCTGCTTTGCCCTTATGAGGATTATCTCAAAGGCTATCACAAACAAGACTGGGGAGAGCCGCATTCCAGCTGTATAATCAGAGATTCCAAGGACCGACTTCTGAGAATAAAAGGCTCCAGGGCGAACTTGTAGATGCCCTGATCAAGTGCCAGCTTGCAAAGCTAAATCAGATTATCAGTGAAATTACCACTGAGCTTGAAGAGGAAAAGAGAATGATTGAGAAGCTCACAACTGATCCGGAGGAACCCCATAGTCTGCAAGAGGTATAAGAAGGGGCTGAGAAGGACATTTGCGCTTAAAACAAAGAACTGAGAAAACACCTTGATGAGTAGTGGAGGGAAATTCTACAGAGTCAAAGAAATCCTACCCCTGCCCAACGATAAACAGAGCCTTAAAATGGAATTAAAGGCAATCACCAGATTGTTTCCTCTCTGCAGGAGAGAGTTTAACCAGCAGGCGTCAGACCTCAGAGAGGAACAGGCAAAACACTGTTCACTCTGAAGACATCATGAGGCTTCTGTCTCCCCAGAAGATGAGGAAGGTTGCAGGAGATATGAGGACGATTCAGTTGCAAGAGAAAGGGCTGGGAAGACTTTGGCTTTAGAAAAGAACCTAAATACCAAAACAAATTGTTATGGTCCTTCCTCAAAAATGAGAAGAAGTGCTTTAAGGAGATGATTTCAGAGAGCCAAGCTGAGGTTGAAGCTCTAAAAACCAGCTGCATCCTTCAGAGCTTCTCGTGTACAACGTTCAGACAATAAAGACAGCGAATGCAGAGATCAGGGCTAAATTCCAGGGTGCAGAGAGAGAGTGTGACAGAATTAAGTCCAAGTATCACTCCCTCTCTGAGAGCAGAAGAGAAGAATCTTGCTAGTCCCTGAGCGCAGAAGAGAAGCCTATAATAAGCCAGAGCGCATGGTAGATGAGCTCAAATCGCATAAGCTGGAGAGCAAGACGATACAGAAACCACTCAAAAATGCACTCAAAGAGTAAAAGACAATAAAACAAAGTTGCAGGAAAGAGTTGATAAAGCTGCCTCTGCTCCTGAGGAAGAAAGGATCACCATGGGAGGAGTATGGGCTTGACGTAAATCAAGCCTTGAACAAACAGATGCAGACTCAGGACATGGAAGAGTCCAACATTCCAACAAGACACCTCGCTGACACTTAGTTTGATTTCAGCCAGTGGAGAGAAGCCCTGGATGAGACCACAAAGGCTATACACCACCTGCAAAAGGAAGACAGCCCTAGAGAAGAGGCACAGTGACATTCACTCTGACCTTCATGGCCTGTTTAAAGCTTACATTCCCTGCAGGTCAGATATGAGAGGCTCAGCTACCAAAATACACTTATCCTAAATTCTTGCTTACTTTAAAATAAACACCCTCAACCCTCAAAATTCCCTCATCATGATATTTAATATATGGACAGACCATGGAAAATATAATATTTGACCCAAATGTGGCACTTAAAGAGATGTAGACATGGGGCCAACTTGACAAAGAGTGAGGTTCTGTGAGGCTAAATGCTACTTTGACTTATGTCTTTGGAGCCTGCGGTTTGGGGCCATTGTGAGGGGCCACAAGTGAGCTGGCTGCTTTTATAGATTTTAGAGCTCTGTCCATCCAGGTCGCAGAGAAGGATGTTGAGGAGATGCTATGTTTTTCCAACTGTCACATATCAAACTGTCTTCTTCAGATTTTGTTGTCTCCAACTTGCCAAATGTTGACTCCATATACCTGTCGTTCATTTAAAGAAAACACAGAATCCAAATACAGCCACAAAAAAATAACTTTAATGCAATGGTGATTTAGATGCCAGTTGCCATGAGGCTGTTTGGATGAACAGACTGTGAAAGAATATTGCATAGGTTGTAAATCTGGGACTGTTCTGCATGAAAACTGAGTGAAAACATTAACCTGTGACTCCAACAGTGCTTCAGCATACTGAAGTAATGAAGTTCATTTTGTTCTTTTCCGTTCCTGTTGACCATTTTTCAGAGTTTTCTGTGGACTTGTTTATTCTCCTTTAAATATTCCATCTCCCAATGTTTGCTTCAAGATATGACGGGACAGTTTTTTTTTTTTTTTTAAACTCATGACAATGCAAAGCGTGGAGGTGGTGAGACAGCTGGTCACTGTGGATATGATGAAGGTCCACTGCAGTGCAGAAAGTGTGCAGAGAGGCTTCCAGAGACGTGTAGAAGTCCTCCTTCATACTTGAACTCACGTTGCAACCTACCAGTCCATTAGCACATTTGTATAATGGTTTGTAAAAACAAGAATTGAGTCTTTTCTTTTCACATTTGTAGATTAGCTTTGAGGTTTGCTAGAAATATTATAAATAAGAACAAGTTACTAGTTTGGCTTTGATATAAATAATGTAATAATACATTGTTCAAACAGACACCTCTTTCTAAAAACATTTAAGTATTTTCAAATATTGCAATTACAAAACCATGTCTTGTTGGTGTTCTTATTCATAAGCAAAATTTTACACAGATGGTTAAAGCCATTTTCCAAATCCAAACTAGACTGGGGTGAGTAGAGGTTTGCCATAACGACAGGTTTAGAAAAACAATCTCAGCCTCCCTGAGCAGAAAGTCACATCAATACCACATTTTAAATATTGAATAAAAACACTCAAAAGCTTGGCAAAACACACCACCCTCCATATTGTTTCTAACTCAGGGTACAACCAGGAGAGGCTCAGCTCACCTTCTCGCAGCTGAAGATTTGAAGTACTCAATGCAAATGCTTATATTGTGTAACACACTACCCCATTGCTAATCACACGTCTCTTAACACTCAAATCAAATATATTTCTCTACAGGTTAACAGAAGTCCTTGCTATTGCACAGAAAATGAGGGTATTTTTCAATGGGTACATCTAATGACAAGGCAGGTTATATAGTGACATTTTGATTTGGTTTGACAGCATAAATGTCCATTGCTCTCAACATAAAAAGGTAAACCGAAAGACCAACATAGGTTGTGTCGAGAATTCTAAAATGTTTACACTCGTATGAAGATGTTTGAACCTTCACAGCATGAAGCGAGCATGAATCTTCATCATTCAGATTAAAGGTTATAAAGGCTGTTGATTAGGCTCAGCTTCATTTAACATCCCAAAAACAGCCTTTTGAGACAAAAAAAACCTCTTCTTTTAACTTCTGCCGTGCTGCAGTAAGTGATATTCATAGAGGTGAACAAGTGCTAATTGAGAGCAACATGAATATATGACATTCAAGAGCACATTGACAATAAACACAGTCCTAATATATAATTTCCTTGTAAAAACATGACTAAGACACAAACAGTTTAGTGTACAGCTTTCGTCTAAGAAGGCAAAGAAAGTCAATTAGTTAAGGACAGACGTTCTCTTTTCACTGAGAGGCGGTTGATTTACAGTGACCTCACAGGCGTGAATGGAGACAGAGGTAATGTGTCTGAAAGCCTATTTTTAATTAGCTTCATGAACACACCACTGTCACCAGCAGCCTCTCAATTTCAAGCAGGTATTTGGACAAAAACAAGACGGGGGGGGGGGGGGGGAAGACAAACATGGGAGTGACAGATGACAACCAGACATTCATCACTGATGAAATGTGACAATTTAAAGAGACAGAGACAAAATTGTAATTGATATTTAAATATTGCAAAACATACAAAAACAGTTTCCTTTTAAGTGTAAACATTAAACTGATGTCGGATGTCATTTTTGCACATGGAGAAATTATATAAAATAAATCATGTCTGTCATGACTATAAATTGTTCTCATTAAAATGTAAAAACAACATAGTAAATCTTGTTTATATTATTATTGTAATAATAATAATGCTTATGTTAACATTTGTTTGTATACGTTTTTTTTTTTTTACCGTACTGATATAAATAGTTATATGTAGAATATCTTAATTCATACTTTGACCCCTCCCGCTTTGTCTTTTCAAGGCAAAAACAATACTTGTGTCTCTGCCACACTCAGACTCTCACACATCCAAACACACCTTCATACATCCCAATATGGTCTCACACACACACACACACACACACACACCACACACACACACACACAAGCTGCCACAGTCATTCAGGGGAGGTCACCAGGAGGCTCTATGTGCGATTGAGGGTCTGGAAGATTCTGGATATTTGGAGCATTACAGGGCCGGTCTCCGGGTCGTTCATCCACTGGGTGCTGTTCAGAGGATTCTCCAGCATGTCTTCAAACGCTGCATAAAAAACACAACACAAACACAAGACACAAAACACAAGACATATATTTCAGAAAAGCAGCAAGAAATTACTGGAGCAAACCACCTTTAGTGAATTAGCCTTATTGATGTGGTTTTGAAGCCGCTGAGAAGGCTGTCAATAACAGGCTGGTGTGGGACATTAAAGAAGAGGGTCTTATTAAATGAAAACAAATCAACCACAAGATTATGTTATAGTTAAATGATTTTAGCATAACTTAAAGACCTAAACTACTATAAAATCCATCTACTATTAACAAATTCTTAACCAAGCAGATTTTTCAAATGCATCTCCTATATTATTACATAAAAAGTTTGGTAATCTTGACCAAGTTTATTTTCTAAGGTACCTATTAAAAAGTGATTAAAAAGCAAAAAACACAAGAACTTTACTTCATTAATATTTACAGTCCAATATGCCTCCATTTTTTTCACCTGTGCCCATCGTCCTATCACTATTTGTGAGACTGGAGGTCTAGTTACCGTCCTGACTAATCAAGATCAGCTTCTTCTTTGTCCTTTATTCTTGATCCTTTTCTACAAGGCAAGCGTGCACATTGCTGCATATACTCAAATGCAGCAATGTTGGCTATCTGCCGTTTTATTCCTTGGTGTGAACCAAAAAAAAACAGTGCTACAGAATGAAAGTGACCAAGTTTTAAAATGTCTGCAGACTTTTCACAACATTTGAGAAGACTGTACCTAGCAGAGTCTTAGGATTGGTTAAACCCAACTGCACCACTGGATTCTCCAGAATGGCCTGGAACAGTGGGCTGTTGGTGTCGATGCCTTTGTCCATATCTTCAGGAGAAGGTTTCCTGTCTCCCAGCAGCCACTCACACTGCAGGATGGGAAAACACAATGTGGAAACAAAAAACACCTTTCAGATTTGAAAACCAATTTCTATGTATTTTATTGTTTATCATAAGACAGGTCAGACTGTAGGATCAGCTACAGTGTATTTTCCAATATTTGTATGCTGTCACCTTCAGTTAATTTAAATGATTACTCTTGTACTTGTGAATATTCCTTATAATCAATGTGCCCGGTATTGTTCTGCTTTGAATTGTGGTCATGCTTTGGTGGACATGACATGAATTATGCAAATGGCTGCAACTGTATAGCTCACAATTAGGACCGTCAGCATCAACTAGTTCATCGCGATGAATTAAAGTTTGAAATGAATGTTTACTTTCTGTCACAATGAACTGCATGCTATTTTGTCCCTTTGGGTGCTCTGTGGATTAGCCTCTGCAGTATCTCTCTGTAGTCACAGTGACTCACAAGAGCGACACTGCTGCATCTTTGAAAGTCTTAGTTTACTTTAAAATACTTTCAGACAGCTCAGTGGACGAGTCAAAAGTAATATCCACCTTATGACATCAAAGATTTCACTTTCTTACCGTTCCTTTTAGCAATTTACATTTAGTTTTTGATCTCTATCGTGTTCCTATATCCGTGGTTAAGTTAATGTCGTGACCTTTGACCTACCCCTAGGTCCTTACATTATTTCAAAATAAAGGCAGCGTTGCATCAAACAGCAATTAAAGTACTGTCTTCTTAAGAAAGTTAAAAAAACTGAATTTTTAAATGTGATATAATGTCATTTCAAATATGCAATTAAAAATGTGATGAATAATAATTAACTACTGAAATGTATTGATGAATTGCAATTAAATAATGTAATTATTTGACAGCCCTACTTATAATCACACAAAGACTTGGTGTAGAGAATCGTAGACTTGCCTCTAAGAACTCTGTTATTTGTGATATTGTTTGCAAACACCTACCGCTGCATCTTGTTGGTTGTTATTCACCCTCAGAGCATCAATCACCTCCTTTTCATCAAATCCCATCTCCATCAATGCAATGACAGCCTGCAGAATCACAGAAAGAGAGTGTCTGTTTAGTTTAAAGAGCCTCACAGTTCAATTCTAACAACACAAACTGTCCCACTTCAGTGGAGCCTTGTGGGTTGTCTTGGAGGAAAAAGTCATTTGTGCACATCATGAGAAGCAGTTGGAAACGTACTACCACCGCTTAAATGACCGTATACAAGACGAATGAACCACGCAGCATTGTTTCGCTATTTCAATCAGTTTTCTATTTTTGGAAATACAGGGGAGCCCTTTTCCTCTGGACAATGGGGTACACTGAGAGCAGGTGTGAGCTCCAAGAAGAGTTTTCTAAAAGTAACAAACAAGCAAACTACTCTATGAAAGCTTTGACTGGTTAAAGTCACCCACTCTTGAGTCTGGTCTGAACTCCCGTTTCCTGCGGATCCTCTTGAAGATCTCTGTGAGTTCGTCCTGCCTGCTGCTTTCTTCTGTGCTCGACTGGCTGGAGAGGCTGCGGAGGAGGTTAGGAGTAGAGGATAAGCCTGAGGCTGAGGCTGAGGCTGAGGCTGAGGCTGCGGCTGAGGCTGAAGCTGAGGCTGAAGCTGAGGCTGAAGCTGAGGCTGAGGCTGAGGCTGAGGGACCTGCGGTGGCAGCTGCGGTGGCAGCTGCTGTGGCTCCTGCTGTACCAGAAGAGTCCTGGCCTGGCATGGGTGTGTCTACAGAAGGATCATCTACATGCTCGATAAGCCACTCCATCGCCTGTGTCACTGACATGCTGCAGGAAGAGAAAGGAGGAGATGAGGACAACAATGGTTTCTGAAAGGGACAAGCATTAAAGTCTGGCAAGAATGTACAATCAGGTGATTCATCGAATGAGTCACTCTTCAGAAGAGAAAAACAAAAGAGAACACGAGGGTGTGCACATCCATGCAAAATGATTAGAGGTACAGCACAAGAAATCTCCTGCACCTGTATGCAGGACATTTTATTTTAGCAGGGCAAAATTAAAATCTACAAGATCAAAACATTGCCCTGGTAAACAGTGTACGGACATTTTTCTGCAGTGAGTCACTCTTCAGACATGAATTGAGAACAAATAAATACTGAAGAGGTATTCCAAATTGTTTTACTCATCTTCAGTTGTAAGTGATTTTTTTTTTTTTAACTGCCACACACTTACTGGTTTAATCTAAGAGCTTTGATGGCTCTGCTCTCAGGGAAACCCATCTCTGTGAGCTGCTGAAGGGCCGTTTCATCCACCCGATCCTCTTCATCTTCATCTAACATCGCTACAAGAGAAAGTGACACAAAAAGATCAAAGAGTCGAAAATAAAGGTTGAGAAATATGTTAGATGTCCCCTACAATAATCAAGCAACAATACATTTTGAAATATGACAGGGATTTGTGAATAAACTGCATTGATCTCGATTGCAAAAAAAAAAAAAACTAGAACAGTTCATGAAAGTCCTGTCCCGCTTCAGTAGCAGGCATTTATTTCTAATGTATCAGGTAAATGTCAAACCAAATGTGATATTTTCATCAGCAGAAGTCATGTCATGACATTGGGATCTTTACCATTTGCCTTTTTGAAGAGTTCTACAGCATCAGGGTTCAAGGCAAGAAGCTTCTGGGCCACTTCAATGAGAGAAACCAGAATTTTTCTAAGCTCCGTCTGAAACTGGAACGACAGAAACGCAACAAAAGTCAGTAACATCATTAATACAATACTGCATCTTAAGGCTAAACTTCTAGAATGATATATATACTGTAACCTTTATGTTGAAATGTAGCTCTACATACATTCTGTGAGCTACACCTGTCGTCCCCCCCCCCAGAACCTTACATCTCTGATGTTATGTTGGGCAACAGTACGGTCTGTGTGGCGCGTGGACAGGCTGGCAGTGGCTTTCAAAATTGCATCTTTGTCTGGAGCCTTGTTATCTTGTTTCTTCTGCAGAACAGAAAAACAGAAAGACCACAGAGAGATCATTAAAATAGACTGATGAGGGTTGTTTACAAGCAATGACGAAGAAATGCTTTCAGTAATGATTCAACAGGTAACACAGTTGTTTTATCACACCTTCTCATCTGCACCAACTTCTGCCATCTTGGGAGGGGTTGGTGGTGGTCTTTTCTTTATGAGCAGCAACACTTCTACAACACACAGGAAACAGCATCAGTCTCTGGAGACCGAAGAAGGATCATCATTTTCATAATAAAACGTCCATTGAATATGGCCTTTAGTACCTTTATCTTTGAGGTTTTCTTCTGCGACGGTTTTGGTGTCAGTGAGGACTCTCTCTGTAGCAGCATGTATTAGTTTATGGTGGGTAAGTGTTTTGGGGTCTTCAAGACTTCCATGCACACACTGTAAACAAAGCACAATACAAAGAGTATCAGAACAAACAGTGAATAGTGGGAATGCAATTGTTGATTCTTTCATTAAAATGTTTATCCATCAACAACTTTCAATAAGTTTAGAAAATGTCAACACAAAACTGTCATCTTCATATTTTATCGCTACCACAGGGCAAGATCTGGCAGATTTTATTCTAGGATTACACAAATAAAAGTAATCCTAAAATATCTTTCCTGTTGATTTAATGTAGCTCAATTATTGCTGAAACTAGAAGAATACACATTAACTCACAATATTGTATTTACTGCAATTTTGATGTACGATTAATTGCTGATGCTAAATATCAAATATATCTTCTGTTGCATAACTGCTGTGGATCTTTTATGGTTTTCAAAATGTTCAATGTGCAGATACTTTTCGATACCAAATGTTTTTAAAAAAATGCATTCTCTGTTACCTTAAAGGTCGATACCATCAAGGGGGTTAAAAGAAACTACATGTATTTTATAAGACAGGTACTTAGGAGTTGATTGAATCCATCAAAAAGTGCAAGCAAAGTTCTGCACACTGTATAATTACCACAAATGTGTTGACAACACAATTGTGTAATATATAAAGTGTGTAGGACAGGGGTCTCCAACAGGCCTGCCCAGAGCTACTGGTCGCTCGCGGGCAGGTTTTCAGTAGCTCGCCTATAGGTTGACTGACTTTGTTAAAAACAAAATCGAAAATCTGACGACGGTAAATGCACCTCTTCCCACTATTCATATATTTGGCCCCTAAAAACAAGTATGAAGTAGTAATGTTTTCTTGGACATTGATGTGAAATTAAGATTATTGATAAGCATTGTCTTATTGCAATTTCACACATCTGCAAACAGCGGCTTAATTCAGCTGAGCTATGTAAATAAATGCAAGCGATTTGATGCAAGTAGCCCTTGGCCACTTTCTTTTTTTTTTAAAGTAGCTCTCAGATAAAAAAAAAAAAAGGTTGGAGACCCCTGGTGTAGGAGTTTGCTTACACTTTTTTGATGTTTAAAAACAATAAAGTTCCCAATATTGGGAGCACATGACTTCTATTTTTTATTTTAAATCTAGTTCCGTCTTGTTTATGTATTGTGGGGTAGGGGGTGGGGAGGGGGGTGACGTCATGTTGTTGTTGCTGCTGCTTGATTTATTTTAATGTAAAGCTTTTTTAAGTGTCACCATTATTAATATCTCTCACAACGCCATTCATTACAAACTTATAGCTTGAATATAACACAATGCTACAATGGCCATAGAAGGAGAAGTAAGATGAGCTGTGTAATTATAGAGTGTCAGTAACTTAAAGCAGCATGCACATATAGCTCTCCACTGCCTACAGTAAAAAGGGGGGCAGAGTCGTACTGTTAGCTAGCTGGAGAGGGGCAGCCAACCTGCTAAATTATAAATAGCAGAGTCTACCCAGTTACTATAAATACAAAGTCACTGACACTGACAGTTTAACAGAGGGCATAGTAGACTGCAAACACCCCGGGCAGAGGAGTGACACGACAAAAAAAAAAGACACAAACAACCCAAAACACCCACAAACACCTACATGTTTCAAGCACTTCTCTTTGAGTTTATCAACAGTGGTGTCTTCCGTGACCTCCTCCAGCCACTCCGTGCCGTCCATGGTGCAGATGTGTATTTTTAACACTTTCCCGGCGAAGATCTTCTCCTCCTGGACGAACATAGCCGCAGTCTTTCAGAGTAAACAGTACTAGTCCAGTGACGTTAGCGAGCAGCGGTTGCTATGTTCTCCTGGGCGAGCTAGCGTGCTAACGTTAGCACCCCAGCTAGCCTGTGGTTGTATGAATCCACCGAGAAGAAGAAGGTAACAGTGTGCGCCGATTAGCTCAGTGCCATTTCCGATTTACCCCGCCGGTTGTCGGTGCGGTGGCATTCGTTCAAGTTCTGTGACCACCGAGCTGTTTATTATTCCCAACGAGCCAGCCAAAGACTACCCTATTTTTACTGTAATGTATGAACTCTGAACTTCAACGGGTGCTGCTAACGTTGCATCATGGGAGTCGTAGTTCTTTTTGAGTCACCGGCACCTTTTTTGGTTTTAAAGATTTCCCGCTTTGAATGCCATTTTTTAGTAGTAGTAAATATATTTATTTCGGTCCATGACCACAAAGCATAGATATATGGAAGCCCATTTCCGCCAGTTAAAAAAATAAAAATAAATAAAGTCATAATAATGAGATAAAAAGTCAAAATTACGAGATATAAAGTCAAAATTACGAGATATAAAGTCCAAATTATGAGATATAAAGTCCAAATTATGAGATATAAAGTCAAAATTATGAGATAAAAGTCAAAATTATGATATAAAAAGTCAAAATTATGAGATATAAAGTCATAATAATGAGATAAGTCAAAAATAATGAGATATAAAGTTGAAATTATGAGACTTTATTATTTTTATTTATTTATTTATTTTTACTGGCGGAAATGGGCTTCCACACATAGCACATACACGAACAATAATACAAATAAAATAAAAACAATGGCCGAAAAGGTGTAGGATGAAGCCGAGGCTTATTATGCCTACCCTTTGAACATTTCATTTATACAGTTTATCAAAAACAAGAATAGCAGCAAAAAAAGAAACAAACAAAGTAACCTGATTTCACAAAACAGAAAACAGTTGTCAGTTAACCAAATCAAAACAATAAAAGGAAAATAAATAAAAAAATGAAAAGCTTCCATAAATGATTAATAATAATCAGACTATAGTTATAAACATTATCATAGTGATGTTTTATATTTTTCTACTACCCTGAATTTGAACCGTTTTCTAATTGAGCTGCACATTTTTACACCATTGAACACAAAGAAATCCTTTTCTTTTTCATTGTTTGTTTTGTATTACTAACTTGTATATAGGTAAAGAATCTCCTTAAAGCCAATGCATGCATTTATAACGACTCCCCTTTAAGTAAGGACAGAAGATATTTAAACTTTTAAACTTTAGCCTGAGTTGCATATATCATATATCAAACTGTATTGTGGGCTCATGTTTTTTTTTGTATGGGTGGGATATGTATGTATATATGTGTTGTGTTGTGTGTTTGTATGTATGCTGGCTGCTGGAACACCTACATTTCCCTGCTGGGTTGAATAAAGTATATCTTATCTTATCTTAATCTTATAAAAATATGGGAGAAACTGCACAATGTTTCCTCTGAGTATGAACTGAACGGGGAAAAAACATAAAAAAAATGCAACTGCCTCGGAGATCGGAGGCTTACTGTTAGTCCTGATCTGATTCGTGCTTATTTCATTGTTGGATTTATGCCATGAATATACCATGAAGCACAGGTGTGCTGTTTTCTGCTTACCTGACAGTGTTTTCGGCAATGCATTGATTAAAAAAATGATTAGACACATGACAATGTCTTCAACGGAGCATTTAGTGAAAGCAATACAAAATCCCTCATAATGTAGCTTACAATAAATTAAAGCCATAAGAGTATATAATCAAGAGAAGAAGAGAAGTTCAGTGCTTTAATTTGAAACTGATATCTAGGGCAATTTGTTTAATAGGTTTAACATATTTACAAATCTTAATTATTTCAGGCTGTTGCATTTTCATTATTTGCTCTCCCAGTGCACAAGACTTTTCATTTAGCCAAGTGAATTTTGATATTTAAAGTTCCAAATTTCTACCACTAGAGAGAGACATACTCACTAAAATATTTATACAAACTTACAAATCAGTTCAAATGTACTCCCGCAAATGTAAAACGGTTGTCTAAAAGCTGATGAGTCATTTGTCGTTTTGTTAATTTATATTTTGTTCTGAAAGCTAATGGATCCATACAACTTCTTCATTGTCCTGATTAGTTTTAGTGATTCATCAGTGTTGTGCTTAGTATAATGCGGTTACTGAACTTAATCTTTTCAAATTTAGCTGACATATTGGTTCACTGAAAGTGGCCGGTATTGTGATTTGCATATCTTGTAAAGAAATTGAAAGACAAAGAAAGACAGTTCTTAAAGGTTCAAGACACACAAGTGCTCTTTATTATAACAAGAAACATTTTTACGGATTAAGAATGAAAAAGGGAAATACATTACTTGCAAATTATAACTTTATAAGAGGAAAGGAGCATATTGCAGATTTTACAATTTCACTAAAACCTAAATTTCTCTCAAAAAACTATACCAGGGAGTGTCACAAAGCATGAATTGGACACAACTGAGAACTTAGCAGACTCTTTTTTCTATTTGTACAAAGTTTAACAAAACATTTCATAACATGCACAAATGGTTGCCTCGGGGGATATTTATGTGATAAGGAACACTAAATAAATAGAAATTTATAAAACCTCAATATTTATGTTATTTCCCTTTTTATGAGAAAAATGTCACAACATTTTGTATCTATTTGTATATAATTCAGATTTATTTATGCAATAGGGACCTCAAAATACAAAATATATATTCTGTTCTGTTTGACATTTTAGAAGTTGTTGACTGGCACAAACCTTTCAAATTGCATGCTTAAGACATCAGATTTCTTAAACAAAATCTTGCTTACAAGGGAAATGCACAACATATTTACAAAAGAAAGAACACAGCCATAGGCTCAAACTAATAGGAGGGAGATGGGAAATGTAGTTTTCCTTTTCCCTCTGAACACCAGCATACACTTTGGCCAACAGGCCAGTTCTCCAACGACACAGGACTAACAGATAACTCAAGCCTGCCATAACTGCCAATCTCCAAGATGGCCAAATACTGTACAACATCTCCCCCACATCTTTATGTATGAAGACAATCAAATCTTGAGGCACACTATATTGTTGTTCCACTGATTAAAGAAATATATACAATTTTAGCGAGTGTAACAAAGGATCACATATTTAAGAAGGGGACATTTCCAAAACAGCTTCTGCATGTGCATTTAACACAGCTTATGTGTTCTGTTACGAAAAAAATGTTTTATTGGCATACTGGAAAATGTCCGCACTTACAACAAATTGGAATAACACTGAAACTATAAAATGAAATGCCTCATAATCACGAGTCTTTATAAACAAGATTATACAAAAAATAACAAAATATAAACAAAAATTGAGAAACCATAAGAAACAAAGCAAATACTAAAAGTCCTTAAGAAAAATAAATACCCAGTGTGTATGCTGATGCTTCACTGCAGAAAAGAAATACTAAAAGAAAAAGAACAGTCTCCCCAAGGACTTTCTCTGTCCTGCATATGACCCAGCACCACGGATCCCCAGAATTTCTGTAAGCAGGCAATGCATATAAATAAGGCATTAATAAATAAAAAGAATGGATGAAACACAGTTGTTGCTGTTAGTATAAAAGCGTATAAAAGTCATGTTTACAGCTTTGCCCTTTTTCTATCTTTTCACAAAGAGTGCCTTTTATATAAAAGAAAAAAATACAGCAGCTCATCTGGGCATAGAGATACAAAGTTTTTTTATTTGAACTGTTCAGGTATGTGTCCGATTTGCGACTGCATGCTCGTCGGTGGACTTGAAATGCCCTCTGACCAGTCAGACATGTTGGAATGAGGAGATGAACTTGACCACTGGTCCGGTGAGCCGGGGGAGGGGGTCAGAAAGGGGTGGTCGGGCACCTGGACCTGGTGGTTTGGGGTGTTGTCCATAGGGCCTGAATAGCTGTGCTGGGAGGGCGGGGTGAGGAACTGGGTGCTTGGCATTGATTGGCTCATGATCTGGGTTTCCTGCGGCAGGATGGTGTGAATGGGCATGCTGGAGTTGCTGCTGCCCTGTTGGAGCTCTGGAGAACTGAGCTCCCCGCTGATGAAGTTCTGACTGCTGGCGTTTGAGTTCTGGTGTTGCAGCTGGATGCTCTGCTGCTGTTGTTGTTGTTGCTGCTGTTGGAGCTGCTGCAGGTTCTGGATTTGTTGCATCTGTTGTGCCTGTTGCTGCTGCATGATGTGCGTCTGTGGAGCCAATCTGCTACTCTGGATCCCCTGGTAGTTCATCATCTGTGACAGGCTGGTGGAGGGATGGCCGTTATGGAGAGAGGTCATCATGGGGTGTTGCCCTCCCTGGTGCAGACCTCCCTGACCTCCAGGAGCTCCTCTCATGGGGTTGAACTGGCCCTGCTGACTCATATTGCCATGCATCCTGGACAGCCAATCACACTGGCTACTTATGGCGCCCTGGCCGGACACAGGCAGATGGGTGAGACGAGGAGGCAGTGGGTCAAACTGCATCCGAGCCAGCTCCTGCTTGCTTGGCATCACCATGTGGTTCACACCATGGTGGGGATCAGACATCCCCTGCAGGTGGTTCAAGGCCACAGACGGCGACTGTTGGAAAGGTGAGGTCATCATAGGTGGGGAGGCAGCATCAGAGATGTATCCATGTGGGGACTCTAACGAGTCAACTGGGGAAAGAACAGCTGAGCTGTCAAGGAGGTTCCCAGACTTCCCATCCTGGGAATTCTTCTTCTTCACCTTCATGTCTTTGCCCTCCTTGCAACCGATCCCCTTGGCACTGGGCTTACGGGCCTTTTTGCCCTGACCTTGAGGCTGCGGCTGCTTCATGCTGCTCAGGTAGCCATTAGGGGAACAGAGAGGAGGGGATAATGTGGTGCTGAGGGATCCCCCATGCATGTGAGGACTCCGCACCAAGTTGTACTCATCCATCAGCCGCACAATGTCATGATGCATTCTTTCCTGTGCGATGTCTCTGGGTAGCCGGTCCATGTGGTCTGTAATTTCTCTGTTAGCAAAGTGGTCCAGTAACACCTTTGCAGTCTCATAGCTTCCTTCCCTGGCAGCCAAGAAAAGAGGGGTTTCCTCCTAAAAGAGACATAGAGGAGACAAGATGTTAGTCAAGCTAGTAGGCAGAGTAATGTCGTATTGTTTTGCAGATTTACAAGGTCTTTTACCTTGTTGTTCTGCATGTCCTTGTTGGCACTGTTTTTGAGAAGCACGATAGCAGCCTCCACATTATTAACAGCTGCAGCCCAGTGAAGAGGAGATTTACCTGAAGAGACCAAAACAGGGTTATTAGATTCAAAGTTTGACTTTAATGCATGTTAACAAAATTGAATAGATTCAACAATATGCTCATACATGGGCCATAACAAAAAAGGCTTTTTTTTTTTTTTTTTTACCAAAATCATCGATTGCATTGACGTCAGCGTGACAGTTAATGAGCTCCTCCACCATGCCCTCCACAGCCAGCCTGGCAGCCAAGATCAGGGGTGTAGTGCCATCATGCATGCGGGAATCCAAGTCTGTGGCACGGTTTCTAATTAGGATCTAAAAGTACAAACAATGGGTTACTCCATTAGAGTTTTTAGCTTTATAACATTGACGTAATCATCATTTTCACAGGTTCATGCGTCATAAGATGACTGTAATAGTTTAATCAAGTGTACAAAATACTCTGAGTAATTCTAAGCTATGTTTACAATGGTCTTCAATGAATTGGCCAATTACACTTAGATCCATGGAGTGATGTAAGTGAAGTAAAAATACAACTAACGTTTATCTGAAAAATAGCTTAAACAGTTATGACAGATAAATTGGCCAATATTGTTTTTTTTTCAAGGGAGTAATTAGAAAACAAATGGTTTAAGTGATGACCCACCTGGAACACTCCCTGGGCGTCAGCAGCCACTGCAGCATGCAGAGGTGTCCTGCCCATGTTGTCCTGAATGTTAGCATCAGCGCTGGCCTCCAGCAGGCGTTTGGCAGCATCTGAGCGAGCGTAGCGGGCAGCCAGGTGAAGGGCGGTTTCACCTGTGCGGTCGGTCTGATTGTGAAGGTTTGCACCCTGGTAGATAAAGTCGTTGATTACGTTTGCAGAGGCATCCTCCTCTTCCTCGCTGTTGCCGGTCTCTAAACCTCCCCCGCTGCAGGATGCGATCATGAGCGGCGTGAATCCATCTGGACACAAAGGCAAGAGGGAAGAAGATATGAAAGAAGGGAAGAGACAGCATGGTCAGCACAGCACAGACTCAGAAGCTGCTACAGAAAGACAAGCACCTGCACTTCAAGAACATTCGGATCAAAACAAGGCAACTAACAAATCGAATGTGGACTTGGACACTTTTGCCTGGGTTGAATCATCTCCCTTCAATAACAGATTCTGTTCAAGCACCGGCACAGGAAAAGCTTCAGAAGGAAAACGTAGCTAGGGGGGGATAGAGGCCTGGCTCGCTAAAGTTAGGTTGCTGCAAAAACGAAAGCATTAATATCTGACTGTGAGATTGACTGTGAGACTGACTGTGAGACGAAGCTCAGTCAGTCGACTTGAATGGGTTTTTCTCCTCTTCAAAAGGAAAGCAAGCCCCAGATCTTACAGATTTGGTCGATTCAAGTGCATCGATCCACAGTGGGGAAAAAAGTGTGCTCTCAAGTTGTTAACCCTGTTGCTTTGATTTCTCATATCTTTTCCTCAGGGAATTTGGCACTTACTACTATTTTTTTTTCATTTGATGCCTCTATTGGTTTTAATAATATGGTATAATAAAAAAGAAAAAGAAACAGAGGCCCATTACTGGTCAAATGATTAATCTGATCAGGAATCAGTGTTTCCCCCCAGGCGCCTGGCTTCCAGCAGGCTGCTTTGAAGAAGATCCTTTACCCTGAGGATATGAGGCTTTAGCAACTCCTACATCCGTGATTTTACACACACACACACACACACGCACACACACGCACGCACACACGCACGCACATGCACGCACACACACACACACACACACACACACACACAGTTATACACACACACACAAACACACACACACTAAAAAACACACACAAATGCACGCATACAATAAAATAAATTAAAATTTCACTTGCAAAAGCCACAAATCTATGAAAAAGCATACACTCACACGCATTCATGCACTCTTAAAGTACACAAAAACACACCAACACAGATATGCACATGGTCACACACACACACACACACACACACACACACACACACACACACACACACACACACACACACACACACACACACACACACACCGTAAATGTTCCTTAAAAAAATTACTTGATCTGTTATATATTTAGATTTTTGAAGAATTAAATGATTTGAAGAATTTCGATTTCTGATGAATGGAGAAGAACTTTTCTGTATTTCAAAAATATAATGCAAAGAAGTCCAATATCAAAGAGCTAATCTTTGTGTGAAAGGAATATCTATTTTCCCAAATAAAGCTTTAATCATCCTGAGTAGGCTTGTTAACATTTTCTGCAGAAAATGTAGAAAATGTTGACAATTTTACAATAAAACTAAAAAAAATTTGTCAAATATTTGATTAGTTTTTGGTTTTTATATTGACAGCAAATTCATCCAGTTTAACCCAAAATGAACCAAAATGTTATCCCAGTCACACAAGTTCCCCCACGTTCCCTGAGAAATTCTGATTAGCAAGTAAGTAAGAGCTCTGTCCCCTACCTGGTCCCCGGACATTGACATCCATGCAGTCGTTTTCAATCTCGCCCTGAGGGGGTGTGGGAGCAATAGAGGGGATGCGCAGGTCGGCAGCGTCCAGGTGCTGCTGCGTCCACTGCCGGTGGTCTGTCTGGTCGTCTACCTCCAGGATAGCCTGCTCGTCAAATTGCTAAAACACGGAACGCAAGAGACAACAAAAACTGTGTGTGAGTAAATTAAAATAAAATACAATTAATAAACTTTAAAAAAAAAGCAGTCAGAAAAGAAATAAGAATGTGAAATAAAATCTTTAAATTCTACACATTGGCGTCCAAAGTTGTAAAAAAAACAAAAAAAACAAAAAACAAAAAAACCAAATAGATAATATAATGTCTATTATTTCTGTTTCCTTACCTTGAAGCGTTTCACATCTGAAGGTTCATCTTCTTCCCAATCATTATGGGCGTCATCCATGAGTGAAATGTCTGAGTTGTTTTTCAGTGGCCTGTGATGATGCAGAAAATTCCGTAAAAATCTTTGTACTCTGCTGCTTCCATCTCATCCGAGCCACTCACCATTAATGGTGCAGCAATGCCGAAAAACAAAAGCATTGATTGAATCCATACCCCACCCCTCTGCCCCGACAAGTCAATTAATGCAAACCTTAACCCACTGTATCATTATCATTAATGATCCAGGCAAAAGCACCTTTTCCTAAATCTGACTGATCACCAGTTACACCCATTTGTCATGCAGAACTAGCTCTATACCTGACCCGCACGCTAACAGGTACTCCATGTCACCAAACGCTGCCCTGTGAATCAACTCAAACTTACTTTAATCCCACCGAATCCTCCCCGACAGGCTCACGTCTCTTCTTCTTGCTGGTCTCTGTGGTCTTGAAGCCCTCTGGGAGCCAGAGGCGCCCGCTCTCGTGGCGGCGCTTTCGGGCAGCCACCATCCCGACTCCGAGGAAGGCCAGTATCCCTACGCCGCCCAGGACCAAGTAGATTGGATAGAGGTCCTGTGGAGGCTGCGGGTCCACTCCGCCTGGTAGGAAAATGGAAAGCATGGTCAAGGCAGGCGCCGAGGAACTGATATGGACCAACAGAGGAAAGACCGAGACATCCAGGATCAGCCTGAGTGTTTGAGCAGAGCTAGTTCCGTTCTTCTTCGCCCCAGCGTTCCCACTCCAAAAAGACACCGCAAGCAGCAGCAAGCGCCAGGAACTGACTGACTGACGATCTTCACCGTTTGTAAAGCTAGCTTGTACTATCTATTCTGTAATAATCAGAATTGCTAACCACTTTTCATCAGAAAAGGAGGAAAAAAAAGGATTGGTCTTGATAAAAAAAGAAAAAGGGGTAAAAAAAAAAAAAAAAAAAACACCACCTCCTCCTCTCTCCCTTTTCAACCCAGGGTACCAAGAGACAACTTTACCATTTCTTCTTTAAGAGAAAAAAGGAGGGGGATTAATGAACTTCAAATTACTGCACGCGCTTTAAGCTGTAAAGACGAAGGATTTATTAGGATTTTCAAGATAACAAAGACTCCCAACTTCTAGCACACTCCCGATCAATTTTTCCCCTTCTCTTTTTTTTTTCCACTAACGATTTTGAAATGATAAACTCCCCCCAACCTAAACCCTCAGAGATGCATTAAGTCCTGGTATTACATTCAGCGAGGTGAAGGTTGCAGCAGCCGCTCACTCAGTGGGATGAAGTGTGTGTGCGTGCATGTGTGTTATCTGTGGACGTATATGTGTACATGAGTGTGAGGCACAGAGAGACAGAAATAGGGTGTTGTATTGTGTGAGCAGGGGGTAGGATGAGTTGATTTGCAACAATTAACCATTTTGGAGCCCCAAGCCAGAGGATTTACACACTGAGGGAAGGATTGATTGTTTAGGCCATGAGATTCACTATTGCATTTGTTCACCTCTGAATAACAAATACACAATCAAAGAGTACCAGGGATGGGACCTGAGCAGAGGGCGCGGCCGATGCTTTGAATGTGTGTGGAGGAGCACGTGTCGTATCCACTTGTGTAAAAGTAAATATGTGGTCACGCAGTACAGAGAAGATACAATTAAAATAGCCTACCACGTTCGATAAGGGAGGGAAATTTGTTCATATATACCTTGATGCTGCATGATGTCTTTTGTATTTGTGTAAAGTATGATGTGTAAGTATTTACACATATTATGTTTTGCAAAGTTTTAATTGTAGGTATCTACCTATGGAAGACTGTATGTAAATAAGCTTTCATGCTAACTCACTCATAAAGATACCTTAACGAAAAATAATACTTATAAGTTTGAGCATGACTTTTTCTTTGATTAATACAGACTTTTATCAGATGTACTCACTAAAAACAGCTTCAATGGTGTAGGGAACGTCCAGCTTCCCGCTGCTGGCCAAAGCCGCGAGGAAAGCTGCAGCACTGGTGGTGCTCTGGAAACACTCGGTGGACTGCTGGAAGCACTGACGGTTGTCCACCTCCAAGTGAACAACTGAACTGTAGAAAGAGGAGAAAGCAGACACAGAAGTCATGTTGAGTATGGATCATAGTAGAAAAGAAAGAAACTCCGCAATCCTAAAACAATTAAGCGCTACAGTCGAACGAGGAATTTCTATATCTTCTTGTGTACCCTTTGATCTGCAGGTGATCCAGCTCCCTCCTCATCCTCCTGCTCCTGTCAGTTACTTTAAACAGGCTCCTCTTCACCACGTTCAGCACCTCTCCGGGAACTTCTGACCACGTATCAACCGAGCGCTTCGCAACATACTTCTTCAGCTCGTGTTCGTTCCCGTAGTATGGGTAAACCATCATCTCGCCCTTCGCGTCCCTCCTGAAGATCACGTTGGTACGGAGGACACGGCTAAGCTCGCGCAGGAAGCCGAAGGAGTTGTTGAGGAGATGCTCGGGGCCGATGTGGACCACCACCACCAACTGGCCCAGGGCGAGCTTGTCAGGCATGTCATTGGCACAGTCCAGGCCGTCCCACTCACACTCGGCGTTGTTGCAGCCCTGGTCGCAGTGGCCATCAGCGTAGTGGTCCTTGCAGTACTGATCGTACAGAGGACTGAAGAAATAAAATAAAGTTAGAAATGTAGATGTGCAGTACATTATGGTCGGATCGCTAATACACCTTGTTTTATTCATCTGCTATATGAACTGAAGTTTCAGAGAGCAATTAATGGTTAAATTGTGAAAACACTAATCTTATAATGCAGAATAAATAGAATTAATTTTAGCTTTGATGTGTCATAAATATACAGATTTTCCTATTACGTAGATTACTGGTTAGGAAAAAGTCTGCCATATAAATCAACTTATTAAAATACGAATAATTATTATGGTATTTTGAAAAAAAAAAATACTATTAATATATATGTTACAATATGCTTTTGTATTTTTCTATCTAAATATATATAACTATGATCTGAACTATGATTCAAAATATATATTTTTTATTATTTTGTATGACCTGACTGGGAAAAGATGCTCCTTTAATCAACGCCATACCAAACATTCCCAGAAATCTTCTTTAAAACTGTTATCTAAATATAAATATAGAGATATAAGCCCCCCTTACTTGCACTGTCCTTCCAGATTCTGGCAATCAAAGCCATCGTAGAGACATCCAGCGTTGTCGCACTGTGAATCGCACTTCCCATCGTTGAAGTATCTCCAGCACTGCAGCGAGTCCGAGCAGTTCTTCCACGGGGCGTTGAAGTTGAGCGAGCAGTCGCCATTATCCCAGCCGCATGCGTGGTTGTTACAGAGCACGTCGCAGAACTTGTTGTGCTTTGCTTCCTCACACTGCGGGATTTCACAGGAGACCTCAACCTCTGTTAGTGGTGGCAGGATGTCGGGACCCAGAATGTGGCATCGAAGGCCGCTGAAGTTTTGCGGGCAGACGCAGTTGTAGTGTGGTGCCTCGGAGGTGTATTCACATGTGCCTCCGTTGTAGCAGGGGCTGGAGTTACAGGGGCTGTCGGTGGGATACTGGCACTCGGGTCCAGTGAAGGACGGAGTACACAGACATTTGGGGTTCTTGTGGCCAGAGATGCAGGTGCCTCCATTGCGGCAAAGGAAGCTGCCGCAGGCCTGGGCGTCATATTCACACGTGGAGCCAGTAAAACCCTTTAAGAGGAGGAAAAAAAAGGAAGAGAACAAATTGGTTTACACATTTATTCTATTAAATTAATCAAAATTAAAGCTGTGTGTGTATGTTTAGTAGTTTGTACTCACAGGAGGACATTTGCAGATGAAGCCATGTTGCGTGTTACTGGCGACTGCACAGGTCCCTCCATTGCGACATGGTTTCCCCTTACACCCATCAAACACCGTGTCACAGTGCTGACCTGCAAAAAAAAAAAATTATATTGTAAATATTGCCAAAATAACCTCACATTCTTTACCATGATTTAAATGTGGACTTATTATTATCAACCCTGTTTCTTTCAAAGTATTCCTTCTTCACTTTTTACATGTGTGAAAAGTCAGAAAGAACCGTTACTGTTTCTAAAGTTATGTATTCAATCACAACCAAATTATTTAAAGTAACATCATATTAGACAACAGTCTACAGAGAATAGCCCCTTCCACACATGTCCCTCACAGGGGGAGATTTATACAGTCAGAAGGCAGAGGGTGGGGGTCTCTGGAGGCAGGGGAATGTAAACGGAAGGCAGTGAAAGTCACAGTGGGATGTTTACAACTCATCCAAGACGGCAGACGAAGCAATTAAGTCCAACGCTATAGCAACAGTTTTTGGACATATTCAATGCATAAACGATAGAATGGAAAAGAAAATACTTCAAAAGAATATGAAGCGTTTCATTACGTGCACAAAGGTTCTCATCAGTGGTGCAAGGGTCGCTGATAAATTAAATTTCCCTGCCCACTCAATCATGGCTAACACCAGGATTTTCGAGAATGTTTACTCGCGGGGTTGCAGGAAAAGGTCCACAAGGGACAGAAATGTTAAATGTTTTTAGGAGTGCATTGCATGTGTGAAAGGGGCTAGTGTTTGTACTTGAGATTAAACATCATAAGTGAAAGTCAGAATTGTTTTATAAATATTTCTGTTGATTCAAATAAATGTTTTTTTCAGCTGTATTTCACTTCAAGTTAACCTGAGTTTTACATTTCATCCTTACAGACATAAAAGTTTCAAAAATAACTTCCATGGGTTAAAACCTTTTTATGTTCAGCTCAACTATTACAAAGGGAATCACACATGACGACTCAAGTTGAACTCAGAAATGAAGTAGGACTCAAAACAAGCTCTAACATCTATCCCCATGACTGTTTACCTGTATAGCCGGTGCGACACTCGCAGCGGTAGTTGTTAGTGAGCTGGATGCAGCTGTGTGTGCCCTGTGGGTCACACGGGTTGGACAGACATTCGTTGACGTCTCCCTCGCAGCGCTCCCCTACGTATCCTGCCGGGCAGTTGCAGTGGTAGCCTCCCACTCGATCCACACACTTCCCTTTGTTGAAGCACTTTGGCTCGTTGGTGACGGGGTCGGTGAACGGGGTGCAGTCGTCCATGTTGATCTCACAGTGCACACCTGAGGGATGTATAGAAGGGAAGTCAATAAAGACATTTTGGTTCTTTATGTAGGAAATGAATTTAATCTGCGGGGTTCATTAAAGGATCATCTTTGTGCTATGTTATGAAACTGTACTTTTTTTGATAAAACTATTATCTAACAATATGCCTGCTTTTAACTCTTAACTATTCTCTCATATCCCGGGATGACTTGCCTTAACCCTGAAAAGGACTTTTGTAAAATCAATCAGAGGACTCTATGCATGTATAAATGATCGCTGACCACTTCAAACATAAGAAACATCTTCACTAATCTCAACACCAAAATGACCGATAGTCAATGGAAAATTATTGATAGGTCTTTTCAACAGTTGTTTTTGTCCCTAAATAAGGGCAAAATGATAGTATAATAAAGCAAGGATTTCTGTTCTCATATCCCCCCCCCCAAAAAAAAGATATTAGTGCTATCCTTATCAATAAATGTGTCAATATAAAAAAAACATTATTTTCATACGAAAAGAATTAAGATACAGTCTAAGAGGATCATTCCCAGCTGTCTGTTCACATGAATCATAAAAAAAAACTCCTGCAGTGGCAACTGTTAACATATATTAGGTGACATTTAGTCAATTTTGATCAACTCAATGTTTAAATGATATTTTTTTTAGAAAAAATTGTTTAAAATCCCAAAACACAAGCTGTTAAGCATAAGGTGTATGATAATTGGGTGTGTAAATCAAGAAGTAGGTGTATTGACATTTTCTTCCATTTAACCCATTTTGCAGTAAAGACAGTAAAGGTTGAGGATTTTGGTAATTAAATGAAGCAATACCAATCGAGACAAAGTAGATCTACAAAAAGAGTGATTATTTTAATTTTGTCCTTTCTCTGTAATGTAATAAACTTTGGGTAAAAACAGAAGCAGGAGTTTCATGTTAGTTTTTTGTAAAAAAAACAAAACATGTTGGCTTCTTTCAGGACACACCTAAATATCTTCACAGTTTGAGCTGACCTAAACACTCTCCCTTCATGTGTGAGAGAAAAATCGATGGTGTATTTGACAAGTAGAGGAAGGGATGGAGGCAGGACGGTAGGAGGAGTTTTCAGACATGCCCTGGCTGCTCTTAAGCCCTAATTAATGAAGCGTGGAGACAAGGAGGAGAGGAAGGAGAGGCGGAGTGGTGTGGAGGAGTGTGTGTGGGGTCTCCTGACCTTGGGTTCCCCTGGGACAGGAGCATTTGTAGGTATTGATCAGGTCAATGCAGGTGCCCCCATTCTGGCACGGCTGGGATAAGCATTCATTGATCTCGTCAGAACAGTTGGTGCCTACGTATCCTGGCATGCACTAAGAGAGAAAAGAGGAACCAAAGAGGAGAAGAAGAAGACACAGAGGAAGAGGAAGAAAAGGAAAGCAGAGGGAGGAGAGAGAGAGGAGGGTTTAATCAATGTCTGACATGAAACAAAGATACTTTTTGTTTACCTGGCTGTTTTCTGGCCTCCATCCTGCCAAGGCCAGCAGATCCTTTATTCCAGGGGAGATTAACACATCAAGCTATTTGTTTTCTATTTATAAACAGGCCTCTTCATAAGGCCCGTTTGTATCATCTAACAGACTGCCTGCTGTATGCCAAAGCATTAAGACAAATTCATCATACAAAAAGGATACTAGAGATGTTTTTCAAATCTGAATTAAGATGATGTAAATCCAAGAAGGGTGGCATTTAAGACTTCAACTAAATAATTAAACATACAATTACCCAGGATTGGGCTTAAATTTAAACATGTAAAAAAAAATATATATATATATTTATTATTTATATATACATACGTATACATCCTTAGACCTGATGCATTCTGATACGTATAATATAAAGAAAAACACTGCAATAAAAGGATTTCTTAATCCATAGTCTACAGCTTTGACTTTTTATTTCAGCAACCAGATGAATGGTTTTCTTCAGTGCTGTTACCTTGCAGGAGTATCCACCTAAGAAGTCTGTACAGGTGGCTCCATTCTGGCAGGGGTTTGGAGTACATTCGTCCACCTGCTCCTCACAGTAACTTCCGGTATATCCAATCTGGCAGTGGCAGTAATGAACGTTTCCTGCATCCAGACACTGACCAGAGTTACGGCACAGATGGGCAACATCGACTCCTGCACAGAGAGGACAATACACTGTCTTAGTCTTGTTATGTTCAGCCTGCACACAGTTTCATCAACAAATAATTCTCAATACATTATACATGATTTTTAAAGCAGACTGACACACAAACACTTCTAAAAAAAATCACACAAAAACAGGATTTTACCTCTCTGCTTGGCTGCTACCTCACAGGAAACACTTGGGACATCACAGTACAGTCCTGTCCAGCCAGTCTCACACTGACAGCTGTAGGTGGTTTCTTTCTGCCAGCATTTCCCCCCATTTTTGCAGGGGGACGAGTTGCACCACCGAACCAAGTTCTGAAAGGTACAGGAACATGGGAACCAAAGGGTTAAAAAAAAACCCAACATGTTTACAGTGATTTCCTTTCTAAAACAGTTCTTTTGACCTGCAAAACTTTTTGACCCACTTCTAAACCTAGATAGAAAAATCGACTGTATTGATCCCAAATCAAATCATTGTGATTAGATATGTAATGAGTAAATATATATTTTTATGTTATTATAGTAAATAATCGATTTAAAATATAAAACTCAAGTCTATTTAAAATGTAAATACACTTTGCAGGAAGGTAGAGGTGTGAATGTGAAATACAGTGATCTGAGGTGTTCAGCAAATACAATGAAAGAGATGATAATGTGTAGATAAATGGATTAACGGTGCCTGGATTGCAGTTCGAATGAGACAGAAACGACGAGGATGAGAGTTCTCTGATCAACAGTGGTGAGCTGTTGTAAAAAGGCATAGCTCTCCTAGAATACTTTGATAAATAAAGTAATGAAACCTGAAAGACAAGCACGCTCACTAAACGTACAAGCCCCTCTCTGCGCTCCTACCTGACAGTTGAGTCCGGTGTACCCATGTGGGCAGGTGCATTTGTAGGTGCCATAGCTGTCTTGGCAGGTTCCACCGTTCAGACAGGGTTTGGAGTCGCACTCGTTGATGTCATGCTGGCAGTAGCTCCCGGTGAAGCCAGGCGGGCACAAACATGTAAAGGTGTTGATGCCGTCCACACAGCTGCCTCCATTGAAGCAGGAGCTATGGGAAGAAGAAACAAAGAAGAAAATGAATTCATCAAAATGTTAGTATTCTTCAACTTCAAGGAAGAAGAGATCGGGAAAGCAAATCATAAAATTTGTTAGTTAAGTGCCCGGCAAAGTCACATCTCATTTTAACACAGAAAAAATATTTTTGTTCAAGCAATGCTCTATTTCATATTCTATCTGCACTGAGGATGTTTAGTGGTAGTTTAAGGAACAACTTCAAAGTTGCATGCTATGATAAAGTAGGGGCTTCTTCACCTGCTTATTATGGGACAGTGATGCTGAGGTTAGCTTGTGTAGTCCCTTACTCCACCACAGGGGGCAATGGCAGACAAGAAAAAGTGGATGACAGTAAACCTGTTGGTCTACACAGCCTTTCCTCTCCATCATGGGTAACTATAAACTCTTTATTTTCTCATATATTTAAAACTGGGAAGTTTGATCATGAAACCATTAGCTCTAGATACTTGAATATTCTTATGTGATACTTTGTCTGTGGTTTCTGTACCTCTCGGTGCAGTCGGGAGTGTTATTTTCACAGTGAATCCCACTGAAGCCAGTTGGACATGTGCAGGTGTAGCTGTTGACACAGTCGGTGCAGTTGGCTCCGTTCTTACACGGGTTGCTGTCACACTCGTTGATGTCCTCCTCACACTTTGTGCCCCGAAAGCCCGGCAGGCAGGTGCACAGGAAGCCGTTCACCTCGTCCTGACAAAGGCCTCCGTTGCTGCAGGGGTCTGTGAAAGAAGAGTTGGAAAATGTCAGGGGGCAGGCTGACCGGACAAAGACCGGACTGAGAGTGAATCTATTAGTTTGACTAAAAACTCAATTCTTAAAATGAAGAAGTAGAAGGAAAGAGATGGGATATATTACTGGGTCTGCAGTCATCGATGTTGGTTTCACAGTTGCGTCCAGTGTAGCCTGGTTTGCAGCCGCAGCGATAACTGCCCAAAGTGTTCTGACAGGTTGCTCCATTGCGACAGGGATTCTTCACACACTCTTTGATGTCAACCTCACATTTTTGTCCTTGGAGGGTTGGAAGAGGATGAAGAGTTATAATTTCCGTTTTTGAATGGTGGTACAAATCACTTACAAATGCCTTCATAAGACTTGATGAAACTTAATTATTTCATCAGGATAGATAAAAAGGGTAGAAATATTTTTAATGCGTATTATTTTTTTAGTAAGTCCATAATCTTACCAACATATATATGCATCCATACAACTTAAGACACACGGGCCTACAGGCAGTAGGGTTTACCTTGCCATCCTTCAGGACAGACGCAAGAGAAACTCTGGAAGTCCTCTGACTCCTGGCACACTCCTTCATGTTTACACGGTTTGGAGCTGCACGGTGCCATCAAGTTCTCACAGTTCTCCCCTTTAAAACAGAGACAAAGGAATGTCCATTAAAGCACACCTTTAAAAATACAAAGTATCTTTAACATTTACTGTGTGACATCATGACGGGTCATGACCTTGGAGATAACCCAAACTAAATGGACACAGAATCATCTTTCAATCAGTGCTATCAGAAGATTTTAGCCAGACTCTGTCAGTATCGGAGGCCTGCCGAGACATTTCCCTATCTGTTTCCATAACACACGGCTCGTTCAGGAAGCTGGCTCCACTTTCCGGCCATTGTGAAGCTATTTGCTTTTCTGTGAGACAGGAAGCAGGCAAACAGGAAATGTGTCAAAAACCCCGTTCCCACCCCGGCAGAGAAAGAGCCTTTTATTATTCAAAGACCTGTGGATTTTTCCAAAAAGACGACTCCACGAATCCAAGAAAATTTGCCCTTAGGCATTCCATTAATATCTGTTTTGTCAAATAATAACTGAGATGACAGGAGAATATTTTCCGGCTCTCTTAACAGGGATGTTCCTGTATCTGAGAGGAGCAGAGTGAGTCAAAGGTTTGATTTCTTTCAGCTCTGCGGAAGTCTTGCTGTTGAACTTTACTCGACAGTTATTTCATCTGTCGCACGTTTTTCCTCTTTTGACAATGACTTACAGGACATGAGCTGTGGAACAAAATCTTCCACAACTAGAAAAATGCCAGAACACCAGGCCAACACATGAGCATATCTAATATATTTCCAGTAATATTTTCATACCAGTGTAAGGCAGGATGCAGATGCACTTGTAGCCTGCGACGTCGTCGATGCACATCCCCTGGTTAAGGCAGGGGTTGGAGGCACATTCGTTGATGTTGGTCTGGCAGTTTGGACCTGTCAAACAACATGTTAAACACTCTTCAGTTTAAGGTCAAAGTTAAGAGGTGTTTGGGGAAGTGTGGTTTGGAGGACAAACAAAATGAGCTGAATTATCAACACACTCAGTCACACAAGACAAACACTGACCGGTGAAGCCCATGCGGCAAGTGCAAACATATCCGCTGGTCATGTCCTTGCAGGTGCCTCCATTCATACAGGGATTGGATTCACACTCATTGTTGTTGATGTCACAGTTCTTGCCGCTCCAGCCAGAATCACAAAGGCATTTATAGCTGACAGAGAGAAAAATGATGGAAAAGGTCAGTTATAAATCTCCATAGATTCATTCAGTCTGACAGACTTTTGTCATTGTTTTTAAGAGTTTAAGTGGGACGCTTCACCTAAAATACTTGAAAAGAAAGCACTTTGCAGTGCTCGCTTTACATTGAACATTGCAATTCCCCTTGTTTACTTGGATTATGACTAAAAACAACAACGAATTTGTTAGTTTTGTAAGTTTTCTACAATAAAAAAGAAACTGTAATCAGTGATTGTAAATTAGATAGATGCTTCTGTGTTATATTTGTAATTGTTACATCTGTACATTTTAGCTCAGTGGAGAATAAAAACAACATAAACCAACACAAAAGCACAACAAGTACTTGGTCAAAAATTGGATTGACAATTTAGATCATTTACAGTGTGATTAAAGTAGATCTTTCTCAATGGCTTACAAAGTTAATAAAACGTGTGAAGGGAATAAAATAGCACATACCGAACAGTTCAAAGTAATACTCATGTGTTGTAGATGTACATACCCGTTGACCTTGTCTTCACAGTGACCGTGGATGCAGGGATTGCTGAGGCACTCGTTGACCTGGGAGAAGCAGGTGGTGTCATGGTAACCCTCTGGACACACACAGGTGAAGCTGTTGATGCCGTCGATACAGGTGCCGCCGTTGTGGCAGGGGTTGATGGCACACTCGTCAATGTTGATGTTACACATGGTCCCTACAGAATGGAGAACATACTTCAGCATACTTTTTACAATATGCTTATGTTATTATCACGTTGATGACTGATCAAGTGGTCATTTTTGGAGTTTAGTTTTATTTAGTTATTTGATGGGAAAGAAATGCAGATATGACATCATGATCAAATGCAGCTGCTGTATTGTTCTTGCAGAGTAGAGTCGGAACAGCGTGAGGAGACATGACAGACTAACACAGGAGCTATTACACTTTTGGCTTCATTTTTGTACAATGGGAGGAGATGCAGACATGTTGTCCATATTAGTATACACTCTATGAGTGAGTCAAGTTATATCACTAACTGTCTTTCAGATTATTAAACTATTCCTTTAAAATATTTAATCATGCCACATGTTGCCACTATTGGTGTATAAGCAGTAAAGTAACTTTAAAATACCTTCAATAATTTCTTGAACACTTTGCACTCTATTTGAAGTATTAGTTTAAATACACAATGCTAACTCATGCCGTCCCACGCAAAGACTCTACACAATGAAGTCTATATCTCAGCGCGGTGAATGTATCCAATTTCCAGAACATGAGGAGTTTAAAGTCCCCCTTTGTCGGCCACTTGAAGCGTCGACGCCATTCAGCCTGGTGCCACGCATAACATCAAGGCACTCCATTTAGCTTTAAAGCAGGGGCCGGCTTCCAAGCTTTTAACAGCTCAACTTTCAGAATCTTTTCTCCTGCTCAAATCCCAGGTGACTGTGTGTGCCTGAGTGTGAGTGTGTCTGTGTCCCATCTTTGTGTGGGAGGGCAATTCGCATGTTTAGGCAGCGGCAGGTTTGGGTACAGGGTGGAGCTGGAAAGTGACACCGGTCGTGCCTCAGAGGAGCATGCTCACTCGCTCGCCATCTGTCACCCTCCCCATCGAGACCCACACTTATTCGTCCATACTTTTGCTCCACTAATCCTGCACCTTAAACACTTGTTTGTTTTACTGTTCACCTGAGAGAGTGGTCATGTTTTTAACCGGTCTTAAAATAACTTTAATACATTTCTGATTCAATTTAGAGGGAAAGAGCTTGCATTGTGAATATGAACACACGTCTCCTGTTTCTTCATAGTGTTTTATGACTGACATAACGTAATGGACAATAAAGTTGACTCTGATTCTAATGGCTTTGTTCATGACTTCACAGTTTAAATCTTTTGCAGACTCCCATGTTTCATCTTCCTCTAATTCCAGACTTTTCTCTCTGTGTAACATCTTCCAATCCCTAAATTTAGCTTTCGTAGAGAGACGTTTGGAAAATAACTCAATCCTCTTTCATGCTTCAAAACTGGGTAATGAAATAAACAACAATCCATGCATATGATGCTTACCTGTGTAACCGGGTTCACAAGCACACTCGTAGCCATTGATCTTGTCAATGCAGGTGCCATAGTCGCAGGGATTGCTCTTACAGTCGTCAATGTTGATTTCGCAGTTAATTCCTGTAAGAAAATTGCTTCAAGTCACCTTGATTGTCAAGGGAAAATGTGTGTGCCTCTTAAATTGTGGGTGTGAGGCATTGGTTACCTGTGGTTCCCTTTGGACAGCTGCAGATGTAGGCGTTCTCGCGGTCCTGGCAGGTGCCTCCGTTCCTGCACGGCTGGCTCAGACACTCGTTGATGTTGATCTCACACAGTCGTCCGGTGTATCCAGGGTGGCACTGGCAGCTGAAGGAGGCCAGGCCATCGATGCATTTGCCGTAATGGCATGGGTCTGAGTAGCACTCGTTGATGTCTGTCTCACAGTGCCTTCCAGAATAACCTGGAAAAATATGTTTTTTTTATGTCATGTCACTGCCATGTCATATTTCTAAAAAGAAAATGGGATGTGTCACTGTTTTACTCTCTTTTTACTATTTCATACTTTTTTCAGCCTTTCTGAGGGACTTTAATGCTTTTACCTTATAACTAATGTATTTTACTGACCACTGATGGGAAGCATTCTTTACACTCATATTTACTTACTACAAGTAAGGAAATGATGACATTCAGGCTAGGTGTCATGATGAATACACATTAGGTATTTTCATATTTGCTTTTAAGAAGCAATTTCAAAGTGACCTCCACATTAAAGATTTATTCAAAACAGCTATGCAATGGAAAGAATGTTTCTCTGCTTCCCCAGATACTGTATATTTCAGATTTAATTCTCACCAAGTAGGTCGGATATGCTGCTTTACTTTAGCAAACCTGATTTTTGTTGTAGCTTTTCTCTGTTGTAGGCATTCTCATCACACAAATGACCTTTGCTTAGATTAAATCTTAAAACACCTGAGAGCTTTTTCTCCTGATGAATGTGTTAATATATAAACTGCTGTCCCAACATAAAGAATTTCACACAAATATGTGTATACCTTCGGTGCACTCGCAGGTGTACTTGTTGGGTCCGTCTGTGCACTTGGCACCGTTTTTGCACGGCGTGCTGGCACACTCATCGATGTCTATCTGGCAAAGGTTCCCAGTGAAGCCTGGAAAAACATCAAGAGGGTGTTACTGTGTGCATGAGAGCATGGAGAAGCGTATGTGTGTGAGTGTGTCTGTTTATGTACAGACATTGCTACTGTGTTCTCACCGTTTCAAACCAGCCCTACTTATAATCCTGAGCCCATACTATAAGTGCTCTCAATGAATCAGAAATCTGCATGTTAATTAACAACTGTGAAACACTACAAACTCTCTATTTTCCCTCTCACTTCTTTTCAGTGTGAGCCCAAAAGGGAAAGGGGGGACAAATTCATTTAAAGCGAGGGGAGGGGGGGTGGGGGCTAGGGAGTAAGGGGGAAAGGGAGGGAAGAAATAAGGGAAGAATGAAAGTTGCGAGGCCTCCTGACCAAGGGTTGAGAGACAAAGGAGAGCCTGTCTGCTCAGCGCAACGCCGAACTGAGCCCGTTGCCTCTTTTGTCCCCAAAAACTTTTCCATCACAATGTGCATTCTCCCGTCTTGCTCTCGCCCCTCCGCAACAACCCCCTCTAGTCCCCGACTGCCTCTTAAAAGAACCAGCTTGACCTTAGAGTCTCCACTATTCAACATCCTTGTCATTCAAAATCAGTCAGCAGGCTATGCCTTCCTCCTAGAGTTATTCATCTCTGATATTTTCTTGTCTCTCGGTCACATGATGGTACAGTCCGAGAACTCATAGTGGGATGTTGTTTGATGAAGAGATAACGTCGCCCCACAAAACCTCCACTACACCCCAGCAGGAACACACAGGTGGTTTAAGCTAAAGAGACAGACTAAGTAGCAGCTAATCCGGTGAGGAAGTATTTCGGTGTCTGCCTGCCGAGCTGATTTCTCCCAGCAGACTTTGCTACTTTCAGCTGCAAGCAATACCAAGTAAAATAACAGGTTCTCATCAAAAGAGAAGGCTGATAGAAAATATATAGCTTTATTCCTTGTTAATTACAATAAAATTTGATTCATTCTAATATAATCTTATCCTGTTTTTAAACCCGGAAACTGAAAAGTTGTTTTTATGAATGGCTTAAAACTGATGTCATTAAAGTAATTATCTTCCTATGAGCTCTTGAGCTCTTATTAGAGTTTACTTTCCTGGTTTTGTATTTTCAGTATAGATTTTGCTGCAATAGTTAGCCCTAGAAATGAAACGCTTACATTAGAACAATGTACTTTCAACAAACACATTTGGCTAATATCATAAAGGAGAAACTTAAACATAAAAAGGTGAAAGATCAGCTTTTTGCAGTCGGAGGGGTGGTAAACAACACGAGTCTCGTCTATGAGCATCCCTGCCAGCTTCTTAACATTTATACAGCGACTGAGTGGTTTGGGGGGGGTTTTGTTGCCAGGATGTGACTCAAAGGTTAAATTCCTAACAGCTCAGTTACAGTGTTAAAAAAGGACTTGTGACTGAAATCAAAGAGCCAAAAATTAAAAAGAAAATATGTGAAAGAATGTTTTACACAGATGAACACTTGTGAATATCCATACACACACACAGACTACATGCACCTCAGCAGCCAAAGAGGGATTAATCCCCAGACTGCAGGAATCAGACATTTCAATGGCTCCCAGCAGGGTTTCCATGGCTATTCCATGTACAGAAATAATAAGAGGGGACCGTCGCCTCAGGCCTGGCTCGCAATGGGACAAATTTACATCTCAAGCAGGGCAGTTAAAACCCCTTCCCTTATTTTTACCCCTCCCTTCCCGCTTCAGTATAACGGTTTGTGCGTCTCAACCCCCCTCATCTACCCACAACCCTTCTAAAAAAACCACTTTCACTGCCACCACTTTGTGCTGCTTCCTCACATAACCCTCTCACTGTCACACACAGACTTCTCTGAGGCGTTAAGCTCTTGTGTTCACTCTTGTGCCTCATCTCTATTACGTGTAAAGCTTCCTTGTTGGGTGTCTCTTCTCCTTTATTTCCCTTTTTATCTAATTCACTTTCTGTCTTTCCTTCTTCCCTTCTTTTCTCTCACAACAGGAGGAATCCTGTGTCTCTCCACCCAGGCCGCCTTTGATCCACCCGTCTCTGAGCTTTGCTATGTTTCCCTCTCGAGAAGAAAAAAAAAAAATTACTTCCACCTCAGTGATCTCAATGAAAGAATGCAAAACAAAAAAACTGATTTGGGGAGTTTGAGGATCGTTCCTTTGCTTTCTTCTTTTCTCTCTTTTCCAGCTACAGTAGTTGCATTCCTTCGTTTCTTAACAAAACATCAATAGCTCTTGTATCAATAGAGTAACTCCAACGGTATTTTTCGAGAAGGAAAAGCAAAACAACTAACTGTCAAAAAGGTTAACTTATTATCCGCCACCATAACACAGAAACTGATATTGTTCATCAGAGTGTTATAGTTACTCCTCTGACTGCTGCTATTAGCTCTCTTTTCTCTTTTTTCTTCTTGTTTGGATGCACAAGTTTCTGCTCACTCATCAAACATTTTAAAGAAATAAAAAAAACTTGTTTAAAAAAGTTTTAACTTCCTCAAGCCTTTCCCTATAGATTTTTTTTCTCCCTCTCTATCTCGACTGCTGCGTTCGTTCGGGGCTACCCGGGCCTGCGTAAGCCTGCCTCAGGGCTGGGATTAGTGCCCGTCCAGAAAGGTGTTTGTGTTTGAGCGAACGAGAAAGACAGCGAGGTGCAGAGAGAGAGATCGACCCCTGTGCCCCCTGGCCCCGCGCCTCCTCCCGCTCCCCCACCACCCCCACCTCCCCCACCTCTGCAGAGGTACAGAAGCCTCACCTGTGGGGCACTGGCAGTGGAAGGCGTTGATCTTGTCGATACACTTGCCGCTGTTCAGGCAGGGGCTGTTGGCGCACTCGTCTGTATCGATCTCGCAGTACTCCCCCTCGTAACCTGGCCAATTAGCAAGGGAGAAGCGGGAGGGAGATGGATTGGTTAAACAGAGACACAGTGAGAAACATTTTAACACTGCTGGCATTTACCACTTTATAAGGTTGAAACTGTATTATACTATAGTGGCTTTATAAATACTGGAGGACTGCTGTAAACAATTATATTCTTCATTTATAAAGAAAAGTATAATATAAGTCGTAGTTGTTATTTATACTTGGACAAAACAAGTTATCTCATACCTTGTAGTAGTCCAACAAACAGTCCGGCACCGTGAGAGTTTATTTCCTTATAAGCATCCTAACACTTTAAACTCCTCAAAATTGAGCATTTAAAAAAAAGATGATTGAAATTTTCTTAAAAAGTCATGAATCAATTACTTTTATTAGCCACTTTTTGTCCTATGATTTCTACAAGTCGATTGCCTTTTCATTATTTCCCTCTATTTAGGTTTATGATTGAGTGACAGCAGTGACAATTATCATCAATACTTTAAAGATACATATATACACCTTCAAGGGACTCAATGCATTTGACCCAAAAAATTGTCCAAACCCCAATAAAGTTTCACTGACAGTAACTGAAAATCAGCTGATCTTCACATGTTGGAAACATTAAACACATTTTGGGACATTTTCTCTAAATAAATGTCTTCAAAAGATTCAAGGATTAAGTGAAGTGTCTTCAACTTTCTGCAAATCATCATTAATCACCATGTAAGAAGAAAGACAATACAGGCATGTTCTGTGCACTTCAACAGGTTTCTTTTTTTAGTTCATCATCAACACAACAGAGTATATTACTTCAATGGTTAATTGAGCGTTTATGTGACTTGTTTGTAGGCCTTAATTTACTGTATTGGATGTCAAAAACTCTTAACTTCCACTATATTTCACGTTCTGAGAAAACATGCCATGGGACAAAGTGAAGTGGTCAAAAAAGAGTTTAAAATCACTTTGAATTTTTCTCTAGTACCTTAGTGTCATCTTTTCTGGTATAACTGTATTTTAAAAGGTGTCTTAAAATATCTCACCTGGCATGCAGATGCAGTGGAAGTCTCCGATTTGGTCCAGACAGGTGGCTTCATTCTGACACGGGTTGGACATGCACTCGTTAATGTCCAGCTCACAGCGCGGCCCCACGTAACCCCGCTGGCACTTACACTGGAACGAACCCTTGGTGTTTATACACTTGCCTGCGTGCTCACAGGGGTTGGAACCTGTTCAAAAAGATGTTCACATAAATTCAACATGTATGTACAGGACATTATACATGGTGAGAATAAGCTACTATTGTGTCTGATGGAATAGAATTATTGATGCATGTGCGATGGTGAGAGCTTTTGTTGACATTTTTATTGAAAAGCTGAAATGCGTCAGATGGTTTGACTTTTTACCCAGTGCGCACTCGTCCACATCTTGATCACAGGACGCTCCGAAGTATCCTGACGGGCAGGTACAGAAGTGATTTCCACTGACAGGGTTGGTGTCACAGTTGGAGCCTTTCTGACAAGGGTTGCTGATGCAGGCGTCATCCAGCTGGCACAGCAGTCCTGATACACAGAACATCTTTCATTGACTTTTTAATAGTACAAATGGGATTTTGCAAATCAAGCACTTAAAGAGTGTTAGACTAAAGACTATTGTGGCTCCAGAGGGAGCTGCAAATGATCAGATAGATCCCCTCAAGTGAGTCAGACTGAAAAGTACAAGTTTTAAAATGACAAAGATGTGTTGTTGTGGTGTTCATAGAAAGTGTCTTGTCTGGTCCTGAAGTCAGCAGCTAAGGAAGGAGAATGTTTTTACTAAAAAAAAGATACCCAATTTTCTGATGTTTTGATTTTTTCCTTATCCCACAAATTTTTTTTACAATAGTAACTGAAAATTGTTTAAAAAACAAAACCATTAAGTACTATAATAAGCTTTATTTGGCTTATTCTATATCTGAAACTCTTAACTGTATTACTACTGTATTTTTATGAACAAATGACTTTTAAAACCTGAAATATTTGTTACTGTGGTACAACACTGCCTCTCTTCTCTGCTGTTTACATTACTTGCTGCTATTTATTTATCATACCAAGTCACTTTAATCATCACTTGTCACTTTAACTTGTCATTCTCTTCAAATACTGTTTCAATTCTCAATTCCCCCCAGTTAACTTCATCATTCATTTTGTACTGTATATACCCCGTTTTTATTTTTATTTTTATTTATCTTATCTATTCTGTTTAATGTGTATTTGAGCTTTCTTGTCTGTGCTGCTGTAACGCCCAAATTATTATCCTATCCTATCCTATTTCAGTCACTTTGATACAAGTAATGTTTCCCCTTTTATTTTGATAGGATGTACTGATTTAAGTCAATAGTGCAACATGTAATAACATTAAAATAGTACAGGATTGACAGCAAAGATTTAATTTATTTTTTGATTACAATAATGTGTCACTTTGCTGAGACAACTACTCACTATTAATAATGCTGAAAGCTTTTGTAATTGACCATATTTCCTGCCAAGCATTTAGATATCAGTTCTACACCAAACATATAAATACCTGTGCGTCCTTTGGGGCATTCACAGTAGAAAGAAGCAACGCGGTCATGGCAGGTGGAGCCGTGGTGGCATGCAGCACTCGCACAGTCATCTATGTTCTCACTGCAGTCGTCTCCTGTCCAGCCGTTGACACATACACACTGGTAGCTGCTGTAAGTGTTGTGGCACGTGCCACCGTTTTGGCAGGCGTTGGGCATCAGCTGGCACTCATCAACATCCTCTGTGCAGAGCTGACCTGTGAGAGAAGCAGAGGTTGGAGGATTCAAGGTAATGCTTAACTCTCCAAAACCTCAAGTGATAATTGCTTTTATTTTAATTTAAAAATGTAGGAGAATCGATACACAAACCTGTAAATTCTGGTCTACACTGGCAGTTGTACGTGTGGACACCATCCACACATGTCCCTCCATTCCTGCACTCATGACCTGGACAGTCATCGATGTTGTGATTGCAGTTTTTCCCTGTAAAACCTACAACAAAGAGAGACATATAGATTACAGACCCGCATGTATTTGTTAAAGTGTGAGTTTGTGTTGCTTTCTTTCATTGTGTCATTTCCTCAAGCAGTGAAATTACACGATTTTCAGTGGCTCAGTTCTCCTGGCTTAAACACAATTTGCTGCCGTTGAAAGAAAGAGAGTGAAACTTTTCTTCAGTTAAGTGTGGTCAACTGTCTCTTTCCTCCCAGCAGAGAGGCAGCTGTACCCTCTTTGAGGTCTGTGGCATTCTAACCATGTAGTAGCATCCACTCTGTCATTCAGTTACACAAGAGGCAACCACCGGACTGTACATGTGGCATGCTGGATCATTTACAGGGAAAATTAAAAACAGTTCAAGTCATTTCTTCAACTGATTTCTAAAATAATATGCTGTTTCCTAAAAAGATATTTTCCTCTATCTTCAGAATATTCATTTTACTTTTTTCATAAATAGCACATGCAGAACAACATGATACCTGCATCGTTTAAAGTATTTTTTTCTGACTAGCAGTGCAGTTTTTGAAGCATTTTGCTGATACATTTTTACTTTTCTCTGCATATTCAGGCATCGCTTTGAAGTGTAATAGTGTAAAACTTGAATTGAAAATTGTATCCTGCCCCACCAGTGCCTGTGTCCATGCATCCTTTGTAGCACAACATAAAACAGTGACCCACATACAGAAAAATGCTTCATGGCATTAGTCCAAAAGGTAACTGTCAGGATGGAGAGCATCAGAGATGCTGAGTGTGGAACACCTTTTCAACTGGATGATATAGCTGGGATGAAAAGTTGCCATTCAATATTTTGCTATGCTGTAATTGGACTAATTAAGCAGTCAAAACAAGGCATAGCTTGTCTGTGCAAAGGTAATGAGGTTCAGAAGTGTAGTCCCAGTGAGCTTTGCTTTACTCTGCAATGTGAAAAGGATGTTGTCCTTTGACCATTTCCTTATGATAAGCCCCAATGCCTTCCTGCTCTGCCTTGTTCACATACTGTGTACACTGAGTACAACATAAGCAGGAACAGCCCTGCCTTAAATGACATCATCTTTTAAACAGCACCAAGCAGCCACAGGCTTCAGAAAATTAAAGAGACTTCAGGAACACAGTGCATACAAAGATGAAATAGGTGAACTCAATTCAAGAGGATCATACGTTACAATTTCAACGATCAAATATATTTTATTTCAGCAGTATTTATCAAACTAAAAACATTTCTTCTTTGATGTTTAATGTTAATAAGTAACTATGCAAAGTCTGGAAAGACCTAAAATGTAAGCAGTCCATGAAGTGTGATGTAGGTAATAGACGCTTATTGTGGCCGTTGAGCTAATGGCTAAGTCCCGAGCTCACAAAGAAAATGATAGTCAGTCCCAATAGCTCTTGACACTTTTTTTAATAAACTGTACTTTAATGTTTACTTATGCCAACATGCTACTTAGTTAAGTTAAAACCTCATAAGATAGGTCGCAAACTTGAAAATAAGTGCACATTGTTTATTTTAAGGAGTTTTTGGACTATCAAAATCTGTCTCTTAATTCATCTTTAATCTGATCCAATGTCATGTTGACCCACTACGCTTGTTTAAAATAATATCTGTTTATACTTGGACAGCAGACATTTAATTCAAGGAGATGGTTCTACACAGCCAGCCTCAACAGCTACCTCCTATTTAGTCTAGTTCGCCATTCCCTCAATTAGAAAAAGTTCAGCAAAGCTAAACTTCATTCAAGAAAGAGAACAGCCTATTATCATGTCTTTAAAGACTAATTAACCTCCTCTAATGCAGCTCTTTGACCATGACTTAATGTGATGTTTACCTGGTACACAGGAGCATTCATAGCTGGTCTCTCCCTTTTGGATGCAGGTGCCTCCACTATGACAAGGCGAGGGGTTGCAGGGAAAGTAGCGGCTCTCGCAGTGCTTTCCCGTATACTCCTGTGGGCATTGGCACCGATAGCCGCCAACATCGTTGATGCACACACCACTGTTCTTGCAGGGCGAAGGGTTCACATCGCACTCGTTGATGTCCTGCTTGCAGGTTTGTCCGGTAAAGAATGCCGTGCAGGTACAGACGTAGTGTGACTCGATGGCGGAGCACTGGCCGCCGTTGGCACATGGGTTTGAGGCACAGGGGTCGGCTTGTTGGCACAGTTTACCTGAGGGCACAGACAACTTGTGATCTACAGGCTTAACTAACCTATTTCAAAATGGATGGATCTGCTTCATCAAAAATATGTTAGAAGCATTTCTGCACTGTTTTGCACTGCAAGACATGAGCAGAAGAAGTCTCTAAACCCTCTCAAAGCTGTTGATTGATAACTCTCAGAAACCATAAAACAAAAGTTTTTAAGTACATCTTGAGTTAATAAGTCTTCTCAAATCTCCTGAAGAAGAAAAAAACATGTTGAGCTCTGATTTGGAGAATTCATTGATTTGCAAAGTCTTGATTGTTTTTATTTCAAGGCCATACAAAAGTTTCACGCAGTGTTTTACCACCTCAAGAAGTCTAATTGCAATGACAAGTGGTAGTGTAAAACAATTTATTAGACTAAAGAGTTACATTTATCAAGGGATTCATAAGAAAAAACAATATTAGAGGGAAGCTGGCATGTCTTTGTTTTTTTTTTTCTTCTATTTCCTTCCCAAAGCAGAAACATTCATCTTCTATTGCCACACTACAGCGATGTGTTACCTGACCATCCAGGTGGGCAGCGACACTTGTACGTCGTGAGACTCTCCAGCTCACAGGTGCCTCCGTTACGACAGGGCGAGCTGATACAGACGTTGTCGATGGGCGTCACACAACGGTGGCCGTTGAAGCCAAGTTTGCAGGTGCAGTTGAAATCCACCGTGTTCCCCTTTGTCACGGCTCGACACGCGCCACCGTTCATGCATGGTGAGGAGGTACACGGGTCAGGAAACTGGCACCTGCTTCCTACGTATCCATCTCGGCACCTGAGAAAACACAAGTAGAGAGGTCAGCAAATGATCTGGTAACACGGGGAAGATGGATGATTTCTACATACCACCACTTTGTAACTCATTAACAGATAGGATTTGAAGTATTTTAAGTTTCTCCCAGAAGGTTCACCTTCAGGTCAGTGAAAGGGAATTCCAAAACAATATTTCTTCTGTCCTATCTTATTCAGCTCTCAGTGAAGAGTTCACAAGACAACTCTTAAGACTCATCAAGGGGCTACCCTTTGTGCAGTATTTTGTTCCCATACAGCTTCTTTTTTTTTTTTTTTTTTAACAACACCGCAGACAACACAACCATTAGATACTAGGCTTTAAACAGGACATTCGTCTGTCTACCATCAGCCCCGTGAACAATGAGTTTCACGCTGTAAAACAGAGTGGTCTGAAAGTGAGGGAGGAGGGGGAAAACTCCAGTGATGTTTTCTCACAGGTTAGTCATAAACACTGCTTGGACCCCAGCGGAAAAGTTCCCAGAGCGAGCAAGAGAGCGAGTGAGCGAGAGAGAGAAGGAGAGAGAGATCCTGCAGATTTACACATTTACAATTACAATGAGAGGGGTTGAAGAGTGTCCCCTGAGGATATGAACGGCTCAACAAAGAGGCCACACACACTGAGAGCATGCGCACACACACACACACACACACACACACACACACTCATACCTACACAGTCAGTGTGCAGTCTCTCACATCCCACACACACCCATAAGAAAATAACACAGGAAGATGAGGACAAGGACCTTGTGCGTTTACATTCACAATTGCTTTTAAATCCTAAAACAATATTGTAGGTGAGGACAGGTCAATGATGTGAAACTTGAAGCTGAAGCTTTAGGAGTAAAAATGTTAATGCCACTCATTTTAATACATACAAAACTATTTAAGTCATGCAGAAGAAAAATTAAAAAAAGTCCTGTCTAACCTTCTTAATAAAATGTAGGACTATTAATTTGCTTTGAAAAGTTGAACTATTCCTTGAATGTGATGATATGCTGATTTTCTTCATTTTACTTGTTCATTTATGGAAGTATTTGGGCTGTTGATCGGATAAAACATGACAACAACTGAAGATGTAATTTCAGTTCTGAGAAATATTTTCACAATGTAATGATATTTCCTTTTCTCTTTCTAACAAATCGATTAACCAAACAAATCTGGGATATTAACTGTTAATCAATGTATATGTTCATAATCTGTTTTATAAAAATGACAATGACTTTCTTCATAAGCTTTTGTTAGACTAATATAACTTCTGAAATGTGAGAGACCAGGAAAACAGATGCAATCTTTCAAAATGACTTTCCCTTTAAATGTCTGCAGTTTTAATTCAGCAAATCTCTAAATAAAGAAAGAATTCTTACAAGACAAACGCTGGCGTCTCCTTGTGTACAAAAAAAACTGAAGTACAGGTGTATAACTGTGAGAAACACAACGATATTGGAGTTTTTTGACATCAAAAACAACCGCCTAAGTCCTCCACAGTAAGAGCCTCTCTGCCGCCACATTCCCATATTCATCACCTTCACCGATTCAATACTGTTGTCAACAACACTGGGTGGCCATTGAGGCCTGGTCATTACAACAACAAAGCATCTTCTCAATAGCCTCTAAGACAAAAACAAAAAATGTGCGGTATTCGGAATTCTTGTTCCTAATCCGTTCTTTCCAGGAGTTGGGGTACAAGAAAACCCGCCATCATGGCACCCTTCAGCAACTCTCCGGGTTGAAATGTGCTCACTTTGACCCTTTCGTCAGCACTCATTCATCCTGAAGACAAGGAAGCATCTATGCCACAGTGTTTGAGCTGTAAGCCAACATTATGGAAACTTCAAAGAGCCGTGCCACAACCTCAATGCTCGTTATTCTTCGCTCCCCAGAGAGGATTTGGTCCGGCATCAGACAAGAGATGGGAAACGATGAAACGGATGCAACTGCAGCGCAAACTCTGTCAAAAAGATGAAAGATTCCTGATGTGTGAATTCTTGTGCAGAAAAAAAAAAAAAAAACATCATTTGGAATGTCTCAAAACTGTGAAGGTTTTGTTGTTGTTTTTTCAGCGCAAATTCCACAGACAACAGTTCTCTCGAAATATTGTGTGTACACTCTAATGCAGAAACAATATTGCACATTAAACATCCTGTGCACATCAAAGCAGCCTTCCCATGAAATCAAAATCTGCCTTTATTCTCAAATACCTGAACAGAGCCAGCAAGTCTGTACGCCCTGAGGGGCTGGCAGGACCATGTCCCCAAACATTCCTGGGGGTCCTGTGTGACTTTGTGCTTGTGTCTGTGTGTGTGTAAATGGGGACTAAGCCATGGCCCCTCTGTAGGGACAGGCGTGTGTTTAGACAGGGTCTCTCTCTCAGGGGATTAGGTGGCCTTAGGACTGTGGTAAGGAAAAGAAAAACATCACATGCTAGAATGCCCGCCGCACAAACAGCAGCAGTGAGTGGTGGCATGTCCCCACGAAGAGGTGGCTTGGCTGAGCGTCAATTAGACTCGGATCATCGTAGCATTAAGCTCAAACCAACAGTGGTTGCAAAGGCAGATTCACGCAAATAAGAATTTAAAAAAAAATTCTTTACAGTTTCTTTAGAATCACAAGTACAACATTGTGTTACCATAAGGGGGCGTCACAATCTGCTAAATATAACTCATTTTTTCCATTTAACCCTTCATTCAATAATCGCTGCTGTTAGAAAACAATAGTTTGACTTCTTTGAACACGTCAAATGTGGGCAGATGGACCCCAGCATTTCATAAAAGCCACTTGTGAAGCTAGATTTTCTTACTCATGATTTGTGCATCACGTCTCTTACAGGACATTCAAAGAGTATGTGTATGTGTGTATAAAGAGGGAGAGAGAGGGAAGAAGTAGCAGATCTGGCTGCTAGAAGACCAGTCCAGTTTAAAGTCCCAGCAGTGGCGGGTGCTGAGGTCGTGAGGCGCCACACAAGCTTGCTGGAAAAAGGCCGTAGGGAGCAGGTGCGCATGTTAATGAGCAGACGGCAGCTGCTGCCCCGGCCATTCACAACTCCCCCCCCCCCAGCCCATCATCTCTCCCACTCCTCCCACATCCCCGATCCCACCACTGCCTCTGTGCTCTGCATGGCACCCCATCCTACGAATGTCCTCAAACTTGAATTGAGACGATGTACTGCTCAAATCATTACTCCCTAAACTGCCTGAATATTTCACTTTCGTGGTTCCATTCTGGCAATGCAGTTGAGTTCATCTTTTTTAGGGTGAGAAAAATCTTCAGAGTAGAAAGGACGATTAAGCCACAAAAAAAAAATCGAATAAAATCATAAAACACACAAAAGAAATTGATTTCAAAAAGTGTTGAGATATTTTCCAGGTATCATTAAGTTGGTCTTTTGTAGTGTTGGCATCTGAATACCAACACTGGCCCCCTCTCTCCCTCCCTTTTTACTACTTAGCAGTGAAATGAGGAGTGAGAGAGGAAGAAAAAAAAAAGAGGGAGTAAGAGCGAAGGATGAGTGGGCCCATTGTGTTTCCTCCCAATTCAGACTTGACCACAGGCTGGGTGTATTCAGCTGTTACACCTCCTCTTTCCTCTCCTCTTTCTCCCTCCCGCAAAAAAATAAATAATCTCTGAATATTTTTTTTTGTAAATGGCTCAATGATGAATTTTGCTTTTTTTTCTCATACTTTATTTCACTTCCTCTGTTAAAAGCCACATGTATGGTCACTGGCATCCTCCCCGCTCCCCTCGGCTCACCATTTTCCCTCCAAATCCCTCTCTTCGATAACCCGATTTCTTTCCATTCGCGAGACACCACATTAAGATTTAACTGACTATCGCTCACTTTCTTCCAAGTTCCTCTGCGCTGCCTTGCTGCTTTACTGTGGTCTGCGACGTTTGAAAGGGGAGCTTAAAATCCAAACACACACACACACACACACACACACACACACACACACACACACACACACACACACACACACACAAGCAGGGGAACAAACAAAGGAGTACCAGAGAAAGGGAACTGGAACTGGTTTGGTTGGGTTTTTGAGGGAAGAATCACAGAAAGGAGGCGGGAAATTTTGCTGTTTACTCCAGAGTCTCCTGTCCTTTATTCTTCACCCAAAGCTCGCCGATTTTTTCTTCTTTGAGGGGAAAAAAAAAAACTTGTGCTAGCTTTAAAAGTGGGCATCACCCCTTGCAAAACACCCCAGTGTCTCACACTGAGGCCTGAAATACAAATAGGTGGAACCTCTGCACCCTCACCTTGGTGCACGTGGAAGCACTATCCAAACACACTGCAGCTGAGGTGCCAGCAGGGAGTCAACTGTAGCACACGCTAGGCAAAGACTGGTAACAGTTTGCTCTGTAACTTGGCAGGAGCATGTCAAATAGATGCTCAAAAATGCACAAAACAGCTTCTACAGGCAGCAAGCTGAACAGCCTCAATGAGTGCAAAATCGTATAAAAAAAAAAAAAAAAGGATAAAGACAAAAGACATCCAACGTCTCTTTTATGGAGAATTTAAAACAAACAAAGCAAAGCAGCTGCTTCAACAAGAGAAATCTGCAGGCCTGGTGAGCAGGATCATCTCAACAGCAGAAGGTAAACTGGGCTGCTGAAAAGGTAAATAGAAAGGCATGAAAAGAAGGGCACAAATCAGAAGCTGAGCAAATATCAGGTGTTTGAGGGGGATCGTATAACCGCAGGACAGCAGTGGAGCTATCTCCTCTGTAAGGCTGATACTGTTATTATCCTTTCTGTCATCCCTGCCCCGTAGCCCTCATTGTTCTCCTCCGTACTCACTTCTAGGATCGTCTCTTCTTCTATTGCTACCGCTGTAGCCCGTGGCAACAGGTCGGCGACACTGATGGGATGCATGACAGGGCTGGGCCGCGGCTCGAGCCTGCAGCAGATGTTGTGGTGACATCTGACCCACGGCCAGGCGTCGCTCTAAAGGGGCTTTCCTCACTTTCGGGCCAATCTGCC